TCACCAGGACAGAGCCTCAGGTAACAACTGTGGTGGCAGGTAAGCCAATCTCCTTTTTAATTGGCACTGGAGCCACTTATTCTGCCCTCTCCGAATTCGCTGGGACCCTTGTCCACTCCTCAGTCTCTATTATGGGGGTTGACAGATTAGTCTCACAACAATTAGCCACCTCACCTCTGCACTGTGTCTTACTAAATTTCCCCATTCCCTCTCTTCTCATTCTACATTGGTGCCTGGCCAGGGCTACCATGTATCCTCTCATAAAGCCCAGTTGTCCCAAACCACAGTCACCTACCTCAGTTTCACTCTCACCCCACAAGGCCGAGCCATTCCTGGGACTGTAAAGGCCTTATCTCCTTATCTCCTCTATGACTGTCCCCTCCTCTGAACAAGGAATCTTCTCCTTTCTGAGGCTCACTGGGTACTCTCGCCTCTGGGTTCACAACTTTAGTCTTCTTGCAAAGCTCCTCTATGACATGACATGGTGAAGGGACCCCCTCACTAAGCCTTCAGATCCCAAGACCAACATTCTCATCCCTCTAATGCTCTGAAAACTGCTCTGACCTCAGCGTCTTCTCACATCACCCCTCTCCCCCACTCCACCCTTCCCAAAGGATACTTCCTTGACTGCACAGGCTTACTTAACAGTCAGGCTATTATCAGAAACTGAGATCATTATCTCTAGGAAAAATGTGACAGTTTTAAAATCCGAGCGGCTAGAGGCCTAGGAACAGGTTGCGGGGCCTACTCCCTCCTCCTCCTGCCTTTTCTCCAGCCTCATATACAGGTCCCTGGCTTCCACTGCTCCTTTCCTTCCCTTTCTCTTTTCCCTTGGATAACAGCCCATTCTAACATTCCCTCCCACTCTCACTACAATACCTACCTCTCTCAGGCTCACCAAATGCCTTCCCACCATCCCTGAAGAAGACTCAGCTTGTACAATCCAGGACCCTGATGACCCATCATTCCTCACAGGACTCTTTCCCTGGCAAAGGGACCCTCCAATTTTTTACTACAGTTTTCGAATTTCTCTTTTATATGTCTCATCTCCTCACCATAATCCTCCTACAGGCAGCTAACAATGAGTGCACCAATGAAGGTTTTTGGTCTTTTCAGGTGAAACGGACTTGGGATGAGGGAGTCATCAATTCTACTATAATTGTCTTTATCAAAACCTATTTTAATCCCCAGCCTATCCCTCCCCCACTAAAGAACATTCTCTCGCACCCTACGAACCCTGGACCTACTCCTTTGCCCACCCTCATCTACACAACTTTCCATCTACTCTCTAACATCAATTCCTCCTTCTCTACATCCTGCTGGATTTGTCTATCACTGGCTCAAACCCTCTTACAGCCACTCTAATCCCAACCTATTGGACCACTAACTTAACTCTTACCTATACCAGACCTCTGCCAAAGCCCAAGGTGAATGGCTGCACATGAAATTTTGTGTGTTGGCCCTTTAAGAGGATGCCTGAATTTCCAGCTGTGTCTCTCTGGAAGACAGAAACCCCACTGCTTTTCACAACCAGTTGTTATGTGGGCACTTTTCTCAGTTCTGGTGCTTTGGGCTGGGGGACCAGCTTGGGGTTTAGACCCCAGAGTTCTTAGCTGAGAAACCACACAGCTAAATTATCTTCAGCTGCTATCTGTGGGAATCCAGCCAGGCCTCTTAGGTCTTCTCAATTCCTATCAGTCTTGATATGGTCTTTATTTCCCATCCTTGGTTATTAGGGTTCTCTCCATCTAGTCTTCAGTTCATTATTCAGGATGTTTTTCTGTATTTTAGTTGTAATTCCAGTTTGGTCCTGGGAGACTGTCAGTGTAGCTTCCATTAATTACGCTGCCATTTTGGAACCTCTAACGGGATTTTTCTTTTTTTTACCAGAAAGCATACAAAGGTCTCAGAAACCTTGGCTACACATAATTTCTTTCAGTACATAATGAATAAATCCAAGAAGAATGTGGTCTTTATACTGGGAAGAGTAGGTAAGAACTTGGTTGAAACTGTGCACAAAAGAGGCCGCATGTTAACCTGACAAGCTCAGGAAAGGCCTGCATGGTAGTCTTGCAAACTCAGAGACCTAAAGTAAGCACAAAGACAGTCTGAAATTAAACTGTAACTAAAAGCAGTTATGGTGGGTAGTTACGTCCTAGGCCGGTATCTTCATTGACAAGGTCAACCTTTACCTTAACTGAGCCTATCTAACTTTTTGCATCTATGATAACATATCCTTGAAATATCTGGGTAACTTGTAATTTCCTTTTTTTCTGACCCCTTGGGGTCCTTCATAGTTATTGTTATCATGTCAATTGTTGACTATCCTGCTTCCACTTAAGTATGTGTCTATCATTGTACTTTTTATCCAATCCCAAAGGTCCCCCCCCCCCCACTTTGCTTTCTCCCGCCTCTTTGATCTATCACCAATGGATTTCATGTAACCCAACTATGTCCCCTCCTTTGATTGCAAAAATAGATGAAAGCCTGCCATTCCCTGGAGCACTATCCCAATCCATTGAGATTCTGCTTCCTGGCACTTGTCGACAGTTTGGCTCAAATAAACTCACAAAAATTCTTTACAGGTTTCAATGGTTTTTTACATTAACATTAATTGGCGTAGTTGGCAGGATGCCAAGGAAGCTCACCCGGGACCACCTTGCGGACTCGGACTCGGTGCTAGGATTCAGCAAGGGGCCCATTGAGCCCCGCCGGCTCCCTGCCGTACCAGGTGAACTTGGGTGAGTTTTCTCTTGGACCGAGAAACTTCCCTTCCTTTGGTCGAAGGTTGGACTTTATTTGAGCTGTGTTCTAAAATCCTCGAGGTGGAACTAAAGGTTTAGGGTTAATAGAACCCAGACTAAGGCAGGAGGAAAAAACGGGTGGCTGGTTTTGATTTCGGCTCTTTAATTGAAATGGCTTTCTGAGAGTCTGAGCAAAAAAGAAAACCTTCGCTGTATAAATGAGAGCTGAAAGCTCCAAAGATAAAGGGGCACATCCTCCCTCCTGCCCAGTTCCTGGGTGTTCTTAGGCGACTAAGAACCTTTGTGGAGGTGTCAAAGGTTATACCTCACGACGTGCCGGAGCCTCACAGGGAAATTCCAAATCAACTGTAATTAACTGACTGGCTCGTCTGGGGGAGCGCCCATAAGGCCTGGTAAGGGGCCACATGCTGACATGACAAGCTCAGGAAAGGCCTGCATGGAGGTCTTGCAAACTCAGAGACCTAAAGTAACCATAAAGGATGGTCTGAAATTAAACTTTAACTAAAAGCAGTTATGGTGGGTAGTTACCTCCTAGGCCTGTATCTTGACTGACAAGGTCAACCTTTACTGAGCCTATCTGTCTTTTTGTGTCTATGATAACATTCCCTTTAAATGTCTGGGTAACTGGTAACTTCCTTTTTTTCGGACCCCTTAAGGTCCTTCTATTGTTATTGTTATCATGTTAATTGTTGACTATCCTGCATCTACCTAAGTATGTGTCTATCATTTTACTTTTTATCCAATCCCAGAGGTTCCTCCCCGCCCTCCCCTGCTTTGCTTTCTCCCTCCTCTCTAATCTGTCACCAGTGGATTTCATGTAACCCATCTATGTCCCCTCCTTTGATTGCAATGTATAAAAATAGATGAAAGCCTGCTGTTCTCTGGAGCATTATCCCAATCCATTGAGATACTGCTTCCCAGCAATTGTCCACAGTTTGGCTCAAATAAACTCACAAAAATTCTTTACAGGTTTCAATGTTTTTACATTAACAAAGCTTTTGGGAGAAATGAGAGAGATCTTAGCGGTAGACCAAGCCAAACTCCAAAATCGTCTTGTAGTTTTACCAAAAAGTGAAATTCATCTCTGTATTCTTATAAAAAATATTAGTGGTATTTCCCAAAATAAAAGAAATTGCATTTTTGCACAAATATTAGAAAATAGAAAAGTTTTATTATAGTAACAATAAGCAAACAATTGAAGTGGGAAGGGGAAGCAGTGTGGGGATGACCCACCTAGCAGTAAGTAATCAAGGTGTGGGGTGATGGAGATGCGGTGGCAACAGTTAATTTTATAAGAAAAAGAGAGAACTAGTTATTCAGAAAAGTGGTTACCTTGAGGTTGCTCAAAGACTTTCTACAGAAACATCTGAATATACTGAACATTGTTCTCTTAGCTGTTGAATCTCTGTCTTTTACTCTTTCTGGCATTTCACTTAGTTGAGTTCTGAGAAATCTGTTTTTCAGACAACTCTTTTTTCTTGAGTGGGCAGATGATAAAGAACTATTTCAGTCCTTCTAAAGAATGTAATTCAACAAATTTATGTTCATTTAGAAAGAATTCTATAAGCATTTCTAGCCATCCATTACCTAATGCAAATAATTGATTTCTTTAACCACATGGGTAAAAAGATCATTGTCATCCCTAAAACAAAAATGTGGAGTAGAATCCACCATTGGAGATTATGTGCCAATCTAGAAAGACTCTACAGAATTATTGTCTTTTGGTCTCCTGTATTCCCTTTCTCTGTTTCTAAGAAAGAGTTCAAAAGATAGGGAGCATCCATACTTTCTACTTTGGAATTTTGTGTCTCATCCCTGTTAAATAAATCAAACAGGTATCTACCAATGCCAATAAGAAACTTTACTAAACACCCCAGTCCTGAGAATTTGAGAAACAGAAACAGAGAACTCTGACTTTGGTGAATCAGTTACATGGTGAAGGAACACTTGAAAATATGCGGGAAATAGATTTTCAAAAAGCTTAATCTTCCTTGAATAGAAATGATAAAACAGACAAAAAGATCTTCAATATGCTCAAGATTTTGTTAACTATGTCTTGCTCACTCTCAACTTCATCTCTGGCTCCTTCCAGCCTTTTTCGATGGAAAATCTCCCTTTCTGCACATTCCCTCTCCATTTCTGCCTTTCTCATTTCTTGCTCCAGTTTAGACTCCAGTTTTCTATATTTTTCTTCATATTCCTCTCTTAACTGCCTTTTCTCTCTCTCCAGCTCACTTCTGTATTTTTCTTGTTTCACTTGAACCTGTTTCTGAATCTCCTTCTCAATCTTTTGGTACGTCTTATTAGTGTAGCATCCTCCCTTGTTCTGCATCACCATGTGCTGGACCAGGTCCAACAGCTGTGCCCTCTGAGCCTCCTG